GGAGTGTTCCTATAACTGTCACAGGAACCAGCTTGATTGGGCAGTTAAATTCGCCGTGGCGTTATAAAAGTGCGACGTAGTACATGGCAGCGCCTATAAGTGATGTCAGGAGATAGATGTGGGTCTGGCAATGCGACCGGTATTGTATTTCACAATTAAACCCTCATTTTACAAAAACCAGCACAGTGCCAGGTATAGAGCAGTCACAGCCACTGTGTAGAGGGGCAGAGCATGAAAAGGGCTGCTCTGCAGGATATAGGATTATATTATCCATAAAGGGTCTGTTACTTTCCCACCTGCAGCATATGACTGAGTGAAATGTGGATCTGACATTCCAACACTCAGTATAAAGTTACAGCTATGTTGTATCATTGGGGGGTGCCTGTATCTTTAAGGCAGGCATGCTCCACAATAACAACTTACTCCCTCCCTCCCGAGCGTCGGCGGGGGAATCTGAAAGCAGGTGAACCATGTGACCAACCAGTGTACAACTTGGAAGGAGCTGCATGATGTAATCAGAGACTGGCCAGTGACGCAGCCTCACCCCACTCAATCCCTGCGCTCTCATTGGACGCGGAGGCTCGTTCTACGGGCGGGGTTTCCCCAACGTTGTTAACCAGCCCTCCTGGCCCGGCCACGCCTCGCGGACTGTGATTGGTGGAAGGAGTTGTTGTGTAGAGAGGAGATTCCTGGTTCTCTGTTGCTGTGTAAGTGTGTGGAGCGCCCTTCCTCCTGCAATTTATATGTTCAGCCACAGCCAGGACTGGGCCATAGCATCCTGAGTGTGTACACAGTCAGGCCCACAATATATCCCTGTGTACTCTGTGTACACAGCCAGGCCCACAATATATCCCTGTGTACTCTGTGTACACAGTCAGGCCCACAATATATCCCTGTGTACTCTGTGTACACAGTCAGGCCCACAATATATCCCTGTGTACTCTGTGTACACAGTCAGGCTCACAATATATCCCTGTGTACTCTGTGTATACAGCCAGGCCCACAATATATCCCTGTGTACTCTGTGTACACAGCCAGGCCCACAATATATCCCTGTGTACTCTGTGTACACAGCCAGGCCCACAATATATCCCTGTGTACTCTGTGTACACAGCCAGGCCCACAATATATCCCTGTGTACTCTGTGTACACAGCCAGGCCCACAATATATCCCTGTGTATACAGCCAGGCCCACAATATATCTCTGTGTATACAGCCAGGATTGGGGCCATAGCATCCTGAGTGTGTACACAGTCAGGCCCACAATATATCCCTGTGTACTCTGTGTACACAGCAGGCCCACAATATATCCCTGTGTACTCTGTGTACACAGCCAGGCCCACAATATATCCCTGTGTACTCTGTGTACACAGCCAGGCCCACAATATATCCCTGTGTACTCTGTGTATACAGCCAGGCCCACAATATATCTCTGTGTATACAGCCAGGATTGGGGCCATAGCATCCTGAGTGTGTACACAGTCAGGCCCACAATATATCCCTGTGTACTCTGTGTACACAGCAGGCCCACAATATATCCCTGTGTACTCTGTGTACACAGCCAGGCCCACAATATATCCCTGTGTACACAGCCAGGCCCACAATATATCCCTGTGTACTCTGTGTATACAGCCAGGCCCACAATATATCTCTGTGTATACAGCCAGGACTGGGGTCATAGCATCCTGAGTGTGTACACAGCCAGGCCCACAATATATCCCTGTGTACACAGCCAGGCCCACAATATATCCCTGTGTACTCTGTGTATACAGCCAGGATTGGGGCCATAGCATTCTGAGTGTGTACACAGCCAGGCCCACAATATATCCCTGTGTACTCTGTGTATACAGCCAGGACTGGGCCATAGCATCCTGAGTGTGTACACAGTCAGGCCCACAATATATCCCTGTGTAGTCTGTGTATACAACCAGGACTGGGGTCATAGCATCCTGAGTGTGTACACAGCCAGGCCCACAATATATCCCTGTGTACACAGCCAGGCCCACAATATATCCCTGTGTACTCTGTGTATACAGCCAGGATTGGGGCCATAGCATTCTGAGTGTGTACACAGCCAGGCCCACAATATATCCCTGTGTACTCTGTGTATACAGCCAGGATTGGGGCCATAGCATCCTGAATGTGTACACAGCCAGGCCCACAATATATCCCTGTGTACACAGCCAGGCCCACAATATATCCCTGTGTACTCTGTGTATACAGCCAGGATTGGGGCCATAGCATCCTGAGTGTGTACACAGCCAGGCCCACAATATATCCCTGTGTACTCTGTGTATACAGCCAGGCCCACAATATATCTCTGTGTATACAGCCAGGATTGGGGCCATAGCATCCTGAGTGTGTACACAGCCAGGCCCACAATATATCCCTGTGTACACAGCCAGGCCCACAATATATCCCTGTATACTCTGTGTACACAGCCAGGCCCACAATATATCCCTGTGTACTCTGTGTATACAGCCAGGCCCACAATATATCCCTGTGTACTCTGTGTATACAGCCAGGACTGGGCCATAGCATCCTGAGTGTGTACACAGTCAGGCCCACAATATATCCCTGTGTACTCTGTGTATACAGCCAGGCCCACAATATATCCCTGTATACTCTGTGTACACAGCCAGGCCCACAATATATCTCTGTGTACACAGCCAGGCCCACAATATATCCCTGTGTACTCTGTGTATACAGCCAGGCCCACAATATATCCCTGTGTACTCTGTGTATACAGCCAGGACTGGGCCATAGCATCCTGAGTGTGTACACAGCCAGGCCCACAATATATCCCTGTGTACTCTGTGTATACAACCAGGACTGGGGTCATAGCATCCTGAGTGTGTACACAGCCAGGCCCACAATATATCCCTGTGTACACAGCCAGGCCCACAATATATCCCTGTGTACTCTGTGTATACAGCCAGGATTGGGGCCATAGCATTCTGAGTGTGTACACAGCCAGGCCCACAATATATCCCTGTGTACTCTGTGTATACAGCCAGGATTGGGGCCATAGCATCCTGAATGTGTACACAGCCAGGCCCACAATATATCCCTGTGTACACAGCCAGGCCCACAATATATCCCTGTGTACTCTGTGTATACAGCCAGGATTGGGGCCATAGCATCCTGAGTGTGTACACAGCCAGGCCCACAATATATCACTATGTACTCTGTGTATACAGCCAGGACTGGGGCCATAGCATCCTGAGTGTGTACACAGCCAGGCCCACAGTATATCCCTGTGTACTCTGTGTATACAGCCAGGCCCACAATATATCCCTGTGTACTCCCTGTGTACTACAGCCAGGACTGGGGCCATAGCATCCTGAGTGTGTACACAGCCAGGCCCACAATATATCCCTGTGTACTCTGTGTATACAGCCAGGCCCACAATATATCCCTGTGTACTCTGTGTATACAGCCAGGACTGGAGTGATAGCATGCTGTATATGTACACAGCTAGGCCCACAATATATCCCTGTGTACTCTTTGTATACAGCCAGGACTGGGGCCATAGCATCCTGTATGTGTACACAGCTAGGCCCAAAATATATCCCTGTGTATTATGTGTACATGGCCAGGGCTGGAGTCATAGCATGCTGTATGTGTACATGGCCAGAGCTGGAGTCATAGCATGCTGTACGTGTACACGGCCAGGGCTGGAGTCATAGCATGCTGTACGTGTACACGGCCAGGGCTGGAGTTATAGCATGCTGTACGTGTAGACGGCCAGGGCTGGAGTCATAGCATGCTGTACGTGTACACGGCCAGGGCTGGAGTCATAGCATGTTGTACGTGTACACGGCCAGGGCTGGAGTCATACATGCTGTACGTGTACACGGCCAGGGCTGGAGTCATACATGCTGTACGTGTACACGGCCAGGGCTGGAGTCATACATGCTGTACGTGTACACGGCCAGGGCTGGAGTCATAGCATGCTGTACGTGTACACGGCCAGGGCTGGAGTCATAGCATGCTGTACGTGTACACGGCCAGGGCTGGAGTCATAGCATGCTGTACGTGTACACGGCCAGGGCTGGAGTCATAGCATGCTGTACGTGTACACGGCCAGGGCTGGAGTCATAGCATGCTGTACGTGTACACGGCCAGGGCTGGAGTCATAGCATGCTGTACGTGTACACGGCCAGGGCTGGAGTCATAGCATGCTGTACGTGTACACGGCCAGGGCTGGAGTCATAGCATGCTGTACGTGTACACGGCCAGGGCTGGAGTCATAGCATGCTGTACGTGTACACGGCCAGGGCTGGAGTCATAGCATGCTGTACGTGTACACGGCCAGGGCTGGAGTCATAGCATGCTGTACGTGTACACGGCCAGGGCTGGAGTCATAGAATGCCTTTATGTGTACACGGCCAGGACTGGGGTCATGGCATCCTGTGTGTGGATCTATCCGAATACAAATATCCCCAAAATAGATCCCTGTTTATTATGTGTGGGATAATCCCTCCATATTTATTATACACCCAATACAAGACTTTCTGGTTCAGTAGCTATATGGGTTTATAATAAATATTTTATGTGTGAATTATCAGCGGTAATCACTAAAGTGAGAATTATCCGGCATTCAAAGTGGATTTTACATTTAAGGCCAAAGTAGCTGAACTGGTAGAGCTGACTGGTTTTGTTCCAGTTTGGCTAATTTTGCCAAATAGCGCTGGTGATCAATTCATACATTAATCAACAAGAATGCTCGAAGAGGTGGTGAGAGTTTTTTGGAGTAGTTCATGGGTGTCCTGTGTTTTTTAGCATTTTAATTCTATTTAATTTGAATTCCACAAGCAGGCTCATGGACCATAAATTCCTGGGGGTGGAGAAATAAACTTATGTACAAATTCTATTCTGCTCATACGAACTAATCCTATTCCTTTAAATCTACATTTAAACGAATGCATCCGTCCTGGATTCACCGGTAGAGTCCTAGTCATTGATTGATGTGTTCAGATGTAGAATAAAATGAATTTGATCTGTTCATACCAGCTAAAAAGAATTTGTGCAGAAGCCTAGAAATTAATAAAATGCATCTTAAAGGAACAGCAACAAACATGTAGTCCTGACCCAATAGTTAAAATCACTTGGCTGTGTACATCACTTCGGCACTGCAGATGTTTTGGACTACACCTCCCATGATGCTTTGCCAGCATTATGGGTGTATGAGCATTATGTGGGCTATAATGTGAACGTTCTCTGAAAAGTGTTTACTGCAAACAGCCTAAAGGGAAGGATTATACTCATCAGAACAAATACAATAAACTGTAATTGTTTTGGTGACTATAGTGTCCCTTTAAGTTTTAGCATTGATCTTAATGGTGCCCTACCAAATTAACCGTAACCCCCTTAAAGTGTGTATTTATTATATCCCTTACATGTTCTTCATTCTTCTTCTTAATGGTCGCATTCATTCTTGAATTGTCAGATTGCAGCCACATCACTACTTGCTGTTAAACAGTGCATGATAAGTGCTGCCTTGCTTTAAGGAGGATCCCAAACCTTTAATTGCTTTCTAATATAATTGCAACAGTCTCAGGGTAACACTTTTCATGCATTGCCAGTCAGCATGATGATCTAGGCACAACTTTCAATTGTACCAGAAAAAACCCTCCTTCATATCTTATTTGCTTATTGGAATATCTGGGTATTTACTTTGTGAAATACGCCCTCTATATATGTATATTACTGAGTGTGTTCAAACAAGTAATAGCTTTGCTTCCACTACTATCTGTCTGGAATATTAAATGTCTGTTAATTATTAGCCATACAATCTATATGTATGACTGAATCACTTCCAATATACTTTATGGTATTCAGTCACCTTTAAAAAGGACTTTGTTACCTGTAAGTTTGTGCACTTTAATAATTTTAAACAGTATTTTAGTGGATTAATAACCCATTTATCTAACCAAAGTGTAGTAATTTAATCAATAATCACCGTTTAAATATCTGATCCTCTCCTTTGTGCAGGCTCCAATCTTGAACGTTCATCGCCATTTTCAAATATTCTAAAAGTTCTAGAATATTCTAAATCCGCTAGAGATTTATAGATACCAATATTATAATTAACAATAAGAAGGCTGATAGCACAGGTTATGAACACGGGTTATAAGTGTTTTTTTATTTACGGTATAATGACATAAATAATATTTGATAAGTGAGCAGCTTTAATTTGGCTTTGTTTCATTTGATAGAGAAGCATTGGGTTGCTGGGCACATGCTTGTCTATAAAATTGTATTGGGACACAAAGCAGTGAGAAAGATCGTCCTCCCAACTACAGTACTTGAGTGACAGCGTGGAGGGTGCAACCCAAACACTTTATCAATGTGCCAGTTGTTCTTGAAATTGGCACTTTTATAAAGTGGTGGTGGTGGGGGAGGGGGGGGTGTGAGGGTACCTTTTTTAAATGTCAGTGTTGCGACCTGCAATCGCCAGGTAAGTTACCAAACCATTAGCAAACAGTTTAACTACGTAAATTGCCAGGGCACTCTTAGCACCATAACCACTACATCATGCTGTGATGGTGCTCTGAGCTTCTTTAACCACTAAACTATTAAAATTGAGTATAAATATTTGTACTTTCATGTAATTTAGTCCACACATGCTTAATCACCATCATTTATATTATAGGAGTACTTACAAGTCTATAGTGATTCCCAAACCAGTCAACATGAAACCGTACACAGACCAGGTTTTGTCAGTATCTCCATAAAATAGAAAAGGAAAATACATAAATCCTGGATTGTTGTTGTGCCATGAGGCCTGGTTTGGGGACCATTGACATAGTGACTGTAATGTTGCTGAAAATGTTGGCTAAAGGAAGTTTTAATGGGTCATAGAATTCCTATAGTCAGGGAGAGGGGAGCAGTGAATGAACTTTCATTTCACTGTCAGCATTACATTAAAGGCACACTATAGCCACCAGAACCACTACATCTTAATTTAGTTGTTCTGGCGTGTATAGTCTGTTCATGGAGGCTTTCATTTTAACGCTTCCTTTTTAGAGACAAGGCAAGAAAAAGCAGTGTTTACATTGGTGCCTAGTAACACCTCTAGTGGCATTCACTCAGATGACCAGTAGAGGTACTTCCTTGGTCAGTGCTGCACAGTGTGCAATGGTCTCCCAAAGGTTTCCTATGGAAAAGAATTGGATTGGCTGAGTTAATCAAAACTGATGATCTCAGCCACGGAGGCGGGATCAGCTGCAGCATGGGAGAGGACGGGAGTAAAATCACCTTTTTAACTGCTGTGACAGGGTGGCCAGGGACCTAAATAGCCACACCAGAACCATGTTAGGTATACAGGTTTGTATTCCTGACACTATACTGTTCATTTAAAGTTCTGCAAATTTACACAACTTTTATTTTGAATTTATTAATTCAGCCTTTATAAAAAATACACAGGAAATTATTATTTTTAGACAGTGTACGGTATCATTTATCTAGTTGGTATAAAAGTACAAAAAATGCAGTTTCTCAAGCATACAGTAGGTGTGATAAAAGAAATACCTTGCTTATAGGTAGCTGTAACGACCCTGAAGGTATAACTAGCAGTTTACGGGAAATGGTAACAGTCACAGAATATTAAAAAAAACACACTTTTATCAATCTCTGGACTGTTAAACAATGTTGCAGTATTCCAGGAAAAACACATGCACACATTCATTCATTTTGTTCCTTTTGATTGCTTTCCTATTTTGTTACATGATATTTGAACTATCCCCCTATCTCTCATTATTTAGGTCACTCCAGATGGCAGATAAGAGGGGGAGCTTCTAAAAGGAGCTGGACTGATGTTGGGTCTGGTATGTATTTGTGAAACTGTGTATTTTAACCAAAGTAGGTATTTAAATAGTATACTACAAAAAGTCTTGCAAATATAGACCTTTGGCAAAAGCCTCATCTCCGGTCCAAAACCGCAATGGCCACGTCCTTAACCTGGCTTTGCTGCAGGAAGCCCGCAGTTAGTGCATGGGGGAGAACACCTCATCGGATATTTGGGGGGGTTAAATGTATCTAAGTGTTATGTTCTAGAAAGCGGAGCAATAATATAAAAGGGAGGAGTCACCAGTGGAATGCTCTGCTGGTTTCCATGGTGATTGCCCCATATTTAGTGTTTTAGGTCACGTTTTTAAGAACAGAACATCTTGATAAATCTCTTGATATGAGTGCTAAATATATGGAGCAGGGCCCGTGGTTGGAGCTGCAGAGCCAATTGAGAATCAATATATCGTGAAGATGGTGTTGGCAAGATCTGCCATGTTTTGCTGAACACAAATTGCTTCCCTTTACTTCCTGTAGCACTTTTCATGCTGTGCCTCAAAGCAAATTCATTATTTAAGTTAGTACCCAGGACCTTGATTATTTAATCTCACCCTAATGTGCCATATTACTGCACCATACTACAGGTTGCAACTCTCCTCCCCATCAAAATGAAGAACACATTTGATTTCAGGAAACCATGATGGATTGATGGATTTTGCAATGCTAGCCATAGCTCTTCCCAAAGGGGCTTTGCGGCAGCTAGCTACTATTTATAATTTCAGAATTTGCTTTAGTAAAAGGTAGCCAGTGGGCTAACTGACTTGGAGAAGTGAGGACTGCGCACTCTCGGACAGCAGAGACATCCATTAATTCAATACTGATTAACAGTTGTTGAACCTCCTGGCAGTGACAGGGTTAACTGTCATCAACTTAGTATGTCTCAACTTCCTGGCAGATAATGGGTTAACTATACTCTGGCACTTATGGGGTTAACAAGCTTCAGTTTATTGCTGAACCTCCTGGAAGTAATGGGGTTAATCATCCTTTACAGTATATTGCTTGACCTTGTAATTGTAACAGAGCTAATGTCCCCTGTCCCTAAAGTCTGTTTCTGGACTATATAGTATAAGGGGTTAACCATGCTCTCTAGGGCATTGCTTGAACTCCCCGTAGTGACAGGGTTAACTACAATCTTTAGGAAAGTCCATGATCTCCTGGCAGTGATTGGGTTACTTGCCCTCTGCAACATATTGCTGAAGCTATGACTGGTTAACATTTTTCTTTTTCTGTAGAGTATTTTTGCACTTCCAGGCAGTTATAATGGTTAACCATACACTATAGGGTTAATAGTACTCTGCATTCTATTATAGGATCTCCTGGCAGTGATAGGGTTAATAGTATTGTGCAGGTGATTCGTGGATCTCCTGGCAGTGATAGGGTTAACAGTACTCTGCATGCTATTATTGGATCTCCTGGCAGTGATAGGGTTAATAGTACTGTGCATGCTATTATTGGATCTCCTGGCAGTGATAGGGTTAATAGTACTCTGCATGCTATTATTGGATCTCCTGGCAGTGATAGGGTTAATAGTACTCTGCATGCTATTATTGGATCTCCTGGCAGTGATAGGGTTAATAGTACTGTGCAGGCGATTAGTGGATCTCCTGGCAGTGATAGGGTTAATAGTACTCTGCATGCTATTATTGGATCTCCTGGCAGTGATAGGGTTAATAGTACTGTGCAGGTGATTAGTGGATCTCCTGGCAGTGATAGGGTTAACAGTACTCTGCATGCTATTATTGGATCTCCTGGCAGTGATAGGGTTAATAGTACTGTGCAGGCGATTAGTGGATCTCCTGGCAGTGATAGGGTTAATATTATTTTGCAGACATTTGCTATACCCCTTGACGTTGCTGATGATCCTGGCAGTGATAGGGTTAATAGTACTTTGCAGGCGATTATTGGATCTCCTGGCAGTGATAGGGTTAACAGTACTCTGCATGCTATTATTGGATCTCCCGGCAGTGATAGGGTTAATATTCTGCAGGTTATTATTGGATCTCCTGGCAGTGATAGGGTTAATAGTACCCTGCATGCTATTATTGGATCTCCTGGCAGTGATAGGGTTAATATTTTGCAGGTTATTATTGGATCTCCTGGCAGTGATAGGGTTAATATTCTGCAGGTTATTATTGGATCTCCTGGCAGTGATAGGGTTAATAGTACCCTGCATACTATTATTGGATCTCCTGGCGGTGATAGGGTTAATATTTTGCAGGTTATTATTGGATCTCCTGGCGGTAGGGGTTAATATTCTGCAGGTTATTATGGATCTCCTGGCAGTGATAGGGTTAATGTTATTTTGCGGACATTTGCTATACCCTTGACGTTGCTGATGATCCTGGCGGTGATGGGGTTAATAGTACTTTGCAGGCGATTATTGGATCTCCTGGCAGTGATATGGTTAATATTCTGCGGGTTATTGGGATCTCTGGCATTGATGGGGTTAATGGTCTGCGGGTTGTGTGGATCTCCTGGTGATGGGGTTAATAGTCTGCAGGTTATTGGTTGGATCTCCTGGCGGTGATAGGGTTAATATTATTTTGCAGACGTTTGCTGTACCCCTTGACGCTATGATCCTGGCAGTGATAGGGTTAATAGTACTTGCAGGTTATTACTAGATCTCCTGGCAGTGATAGGGTTAATAGTACTTGCAGGTTATTACTAGATCTCCTGGCAGTGATAGGGTTAATAGTACTTGCAGGTTATTACTAGATCTCCTGGCAGTGATAGGGTTAATAGTACTTGCAGGTTATTACTAGATCTCCTGGCAGTGATAGGGTTAATAGTACTTGCAGGTTATTACTAGATCTCCTGGCAGTGATAGGGTTAATAGTACTTGCAGGTTATTACTAGATCTCCTGGCAGTGATAGGGTTAATAGTACTTGCAGGTTATTACTAGATCTCCTGGCAGTGATAGGGTTAATAGTACTTGCAGGTTATTACTAGATCTCCTGGCAGTGATAGGGTTAATAGTACTTGCAGGTTATTACCAGATCTCCTGGCAGTGATAGGGTTAATATTTTGCAGGTTATTACTGGCTCTCCTGGCAGTGATGGGGTTAATATTATTTTGCAGACATTTGCTATACCCCTTGACGTTGCTGATGATCCTGGCAGTGATGAAGTTAACCTCACTGTATCTGTGGCTAGGATAGGGTTAGTGACCATCCCCCTGCTAGGGGTAGATGGCACAAGCCTAGGATGGAAGCTGGGGGTGTGGCCAGGGTGTAGGAGTTGGCTTGGGGTGTGTCCATGGTCTGCATTTGCAATGCTTGGCTCCTCCCTCCCAGACCCAGGAGCAGGTTAGAGTCTCCGTTTAACTCCACTTCCCTGCTGGTGGTACAGGTACGGGGGGGCCCCTGGTATCATAGAGCCTGACGCCCCCAGACTTCCTGCTCACTGTCTTCCTACAGATCCTCCCTGGACCAGCTCCATGTCAAGCGCAGGCTGACACCGCTTCACTTTAAGGAGGAACAGAAAGTACCAACATGAACAGACTGGGGATGGATGACAGCCTCCTGGATAACATTGACCCCTCTCTGGGGGGCAGCGATATCGACACTGCCCTGCTCAGTGATATAGATGGTAAGTCACCCTGCCCGCTTCGTGGCTTATTGGCTGGGAATGAAGGGGTTAAGGACCTGGGCACAAACTTAAATATACGAACACCCCAACATGGTGACGCACGGATTTGGGGTGCTCAGTGTACCCCAAGGCCTGGTTGGTGCATTATTATACTGTCTAAGTGGGGTTCTCTTAGAGAAGTGGTAACCTCATGTTGATAGCAGATTAATATTGAATATAACTGCACTTTGTAACATACAGGCAGTAAGTGATGGTCTCCTTAGCTGATGCTGTGTTTTGGGGTGCCCTGCTTCACGTTGCAATGTTTGAAGGCAACAAAAAGCTACACCCATAATGTGATAGGACTACAACCCCCCAAAATGCACTGCCAGCCTGAATGTTGGCAAAGCATCATGGGAGATGTAGTCCTGTAATAATGGGGAGGGTTACCATTTTGCATTCTCCTTATTTTAGGATGGATGTGAGTACTGTTCCTTGATACTCTTATTTACATTTTAAAGCCCCTGGAATTCACATCCCAAAGCGGGGTCCTATAGCCATTTCCTTGCATACCTCTGGATAAAATGCCATTTTTTTGCCTGGCTCACCCACCCCCACCCCTTGGTCTGAGTACCCCATGTGCCTGTGTTCCTTTGAATCCTGAGAGCTCTTGCTGGCTGAGAGACAGACCCAAGAGCTCCTCCCCCTCCGTGACATCACACGGGGTTACTGTCGGTCGTTCTCCCTGCTGTGTATACAGTATATGGCAGCACAGCTCTGCTTTGGGTGTCCTGTAAAGTGGACACATCTCCTATTTACCTAGAATCCAAGATCAATATTAGCTGATAACATTATGACCAAGTAACACTTGTGACTGAGAACAAATGGATATTTTTAGAACAGGGCATAACACGTTTGTATAATTTTGGCTGCAGGGAAAGTTTATAACATGCACACTATATGGTAGATTTTAAATTTTATATCTTTGGGATAAGTAAAGCCCCTGGTCTGTGATCTGTCTATTACACACAATGCTTCCAGTTCACGTACTGGGCTGTTTCCCTCTGACATCGCACATTCTAAGAATGAACCCAGAAACTCATTCAAATAACTTGTATACGTCCTCACATTCATTATCTGGGAGCATTCTTAAACCTATTGTACAACGCTACTCAATATGTTGGCGCTTTCCTGCGTGACTTGTAACAAATTGAATTCTGAAAATCATTTGGAAAATAAATTGCCAACTCTGCAAGTGGTGGGCACAGCGTGGTAGATTTTGCATTAATTTCAGGTGGTTTTGTAAATAAATCCAAAGACGTGGAAAGCCATTTGCTTCCTGATTGGGGGTTTGGTGTCACCCGACTGTTTCTATTTACGTCTGACTGTTTGTGGAGCTCCAGTATAGGGTTGTGCTTTTAACATAATATATGCTGGAAGGAATTGCAGTATCCGGTCTTCCTGCCTTGGTCGATGATTTGTAGGACCAATTAATGGCTGCCATTGTAGACTGTATTTATTTAACCCATAAAACCTTATTTGTGTTTATATTTTCTTCAATTTTTTTAAAGCCCTTTTTTATTTCCCATTAGCGTTACGCAATTTCAGCCTTTTTTTGTTTTGTTTTTTTCAGCCGGAGCTTTGAATTATTTCTAAAATTGTAAAGACTTGTACCTGTTCTCCAGTCTTCGCTTGGGATTTTTGGGGCGTTCTGATGGTTAGCTGAGGCCCTGTATACTGGGGAACAGACAGAGGGTATGGGTTGATAGTTTGCCCTCCTAGCTAGGGGTACATTTGCCAGATCCACCTTGTTTTCCTGGGCAGACATCATTTCTTCATGTTGTGTGGCACATGAAAAGTGCTGCCGTGCAGGATGTAAATGTTATAATTCAGGATTCCTGATTGATCACAGCTGAAATCGTATGAGGTGGCTTAAGTTCTAGGTGCTGCACAAAAGACTGTTTAATGTTTTCTGGGAAATATTGAGGAAATGGGGGACTGTTGAATCATGTGTATACATGATGGCAGATGTTGCATCCATTGGAGTGAGCACTACACTGGGATTCTAGGTTTCTGCAGTGGTTATGGTGCGTAGCGTGCCCCTGTAACACATCCTGTACATGGCTGGTTCGTTCTTTCCCTTTGCTCTCGGAGCAGGGGTCGGCTGTAAGACTATATAGGAATGCAGCATATCAATCAAAACTCAGTCTGAGGCGAGATGTGCTGATTCAGCAGATTATCTCACAGGTAGTCATCACAAAAGCTCTGCAGAGCCAGGGTCTCTGTCTAAATGAGAACCATCCAGAGGGGTCGAGCTCTGTTTGCTGTACACAGACAGAACCTCCCCATCCAAAACAAGCAGAGAATTTGCCAAAAAACAACCCAGGAACTGTTTGCTGCTGAGATTTCACATCTCAACCCATCGTTTGGACTCTCTCACTGTATAGTAAAATGTTCTGATGTAGAGATGAACTTCAACGAGATTACATTATCACGTGGGATAAAACCACTTGAAAAATCCCATAAGAACGGAACAATAGGCACTTTGAAACTCAATCGGGTTATGTACTAAAGTATGAATTTTACATTTTAGACTAATGTTGCTAATTTGTATTGTTCAACTCCGCTATGTTTCCAGTTTCACTTTTTAAGTCTAAAATTTTTTAATTCAATTTGAATTCACTTCGAATTGACAACAACACTATCCTTGTCATTCACTAGTGTGTCTTACCAGGAATTCAAAGTATATTTCAAATTTAGGCCAGAGCAGCCGAGCTGGGAATATAGCAGACTTGGAGAATTTTATTTTTAGCTACCGTGGCCATAAAATTGAAATTCACTTGGATGTCCCCACAATTTTCACTGTAGCGAGTAGCCATGTTGGTTTTGTTCACTAAAATGTGCTTTTTGGAGAATTGATGAGGGAGCAGCATACTTAAGGCCAGTGGATATCATTCTATGCCAGCTCAGTGATTTTGCCAACACTGGTATTACAGCAATTCTCACTAATTATAGGTTTAGACCATAAACCCCCCAGTACTACTTAAAGTGTGGTTCATTCATGTACTTCTAGAATCGGTCTGGCTATAAAATCCAGGTCAGACCTAATGCTTGGCTAGTGAGACACAGCTAGGGACTGTCTTTTAGAAATCCAGGCTAGTTGGCTGCTGTGCATTATTTATCTGAGAGTTTGGATGGTTTCTTTTTATGAGTTTTGTTGTGGGGACAATTTAAACACCCCAATCTCACAGGACGTATTCACATACTCTGTACTGATATACCTCTTTGTGTTATTTACTAACCAGGCGTTATGGAGGATGGCTCCTGCCTGGGGGGTTTGAAAAGAATCCCTCTGGTAGAAGGGAAATATTTTGTGTCCTGTGCTGTTTTCGCTGTGGGGGTTCTAGTTAATCGAAACATGATTTTTTGTAACGACTAACCTGCTGTGTCTATAGTCCAGTTAGGTTAAACAACTGATACTCCCCTCTCCCACCCCCCAAAAAAGAAACCAACGCAATATCAACAAAACCCCCACACGGGTGAAGAGGGATAATTGTGATATCACAGAGAATAGTGCACTAACACACCCATTGCTCCCCCAGCAATGAACAGCAACTCCTATTATATCCAGCCAGCCATCAGTTTGATTACAAACAGCCCATTTACGGAATGTTTGTTTCTTTTTACAATAGCCGTTTGTGTGTTTCCAGTGTATTTCTCCCCCCCTCGTCCCCCAAATCCTCTCAGTAATGTGTATGTTTCCTGGGGTAAGGGGTGGGGGGGATCTGGGAACAACCTCTAGTAACCTTGTGTAGGTTGAAGTTCCAGTGAACGACAGTAACCTTGAGACAGGCTGGTCCTTCCTCTCATAGGAAGGGGAATTTCTCTGCCGCGGATTGGCTATGAGCAGTCACCTCATGTTAGAGCTGTGATTCAGTCTCTTCAAGCCATGCTCCTTCTGCAGGAGGTGCTGCGGCTCCACTAGGTGGAGTTAGGGGCTGTGACTGAGACTGGAGGAGGGAACAGGGGGAGAGAGGGATGCACAAAATCCTGCTCTCTGCCCAGCCTATAAATGTAACAAATGTCTTGGGCAGAGTATGCTCGGCGCCAACGTTTGAATTGGTGTACCGGGTTAGGGGGAAGGGCACCTATTGACTAAGGAGGTGCTGCCTGTACTGCTCGCTTTGCATGCCATGGATTTCACCTTTGAAGGTACACAGCCCCCCATAATATAGACTCTTGGGTTAACCCTTTGATGGCCAGAGGCATGTACACGTCTGGCACTCCTGAGGTTAAATGGTAAACCTAGCCAGTAGAACTGATAGAGCGTGGTTGGTTGTTTAACCCCTCCTGCTCCATGGAAAGTTCAGGATGATTAACCAAACCAAAAGATTAAAGCAGCGCTATGGACTATGTTGGTGCTGCTTATTAGAAACCATAATTACATACCTAGGAATGGATTTGATAAAAGGATATAACGTGCAAATCATGTTAACCCATTGAGGGGCCCAGATAGTGGTTAACTCAATGCAATGCTGTCTGTGTTGGGAGGCAAAAAGTGTTTTTTTTTGTTTTGTTTTTTTAAGTTCTCAGCAGCAAAAATAAAATCTTAAGGTGTAATTCTACAAGTATGCGATTAAACACTTACGGAGTATGTTTGCTGTTTTCCTACGTTTTAACTGAAGTTTAATGGATTTCTGATCACCTCAAACCATATTTAGTGCATTCACCTCGGGGAGCGCCAGTGCCATGTCCGTGTAATATAAATAAAATATCCATTATAATTATCCTCCTGATAACACTGAACAGTCAGTCCCTCACTCTGCAGCATTATATTCCTTGTGTTATGGGAGTTGCAGTCTGCTAAAATGGCTCTGACCATTTTTATAATTTTATCTTCTTTTTTTTCCCCTCTCTCTCAGATATGCTCCAGCTGATTCACGGACAGGAAAATGACTTCGCTGGTCTGTTTGACTCTCCCTTTGGGACGGTTAATGCCCCCACGCAGAATGTCTCCCTATCGCTCAATACCCTGGAGGGTTTACTGGCCGCCCCTACGGAGGGAACTCCTATAAAGATGTACCCCCTTTCTACGTCCAGCTTCCCAGGGCCTCAAACTCAGTCTCTCTCTCAGGATAACTTCGGACAGCAGCTAAAACCTGCAACGCAGAACTGTGTGAAGGATGAGCCCATGCAGATCTGTACCACTCCGCAGACTAAGATTCAGCCAAGTTCACCCCAATTGCAGAATGGAATGTTTGGGAAAACGTCCGTGACACAAGCCCAGACTCCATTCAACACCCAACCTGTCGGAAGCGGATTCCCCGAGCAGGTGACATACACAGGTAAAGAAAGGGGCAATACAGGTAAAATGGGAATTTCTGTGCAGTTATTCGAATCTCCCAGAACCCTCCAGGTCATCAGTAGCTTTAGCCACCTTTCAGTGGGCTTATCATATCCATCGCCCAATGCCACCACCAAATGGATCCAGTAACAAACGCTACCTACCCTCTGACACAGGGAGAAACTACTGAAGGATTTTTACAGGATTTTATCTTAGCATTTACTAGGAAGTACACTTGGTACTTTAGAACAGGGTACTCAGGTTTCCAAGACTGGAGGGGTCGCCAATCTTCTTAATTTTTTTCTTTTAATTTTGAAAAATATATCAACACAGCAGTACATAATAAGCAATACAATTTCTCCATAAAAACAACCAAAAAAAAAAAACATCCCCATCCCCCCACAGGGAAAAGGTGCTTTTCACAGCTGTAGCTGTAATCCATCGCATTATCAGTCTGTGTGATGTGCTGACATCTCTTGTTTCAGCACTGTGTGATATGACAGGGAGATTAAAACCATACAAAATATTGAAATTCAGCATTAATGTGACAGTATATGAATCGTGTAGGATTCCATTGTTACAAAATCCTGAGTGGATGCTCAGAGCCCATATTCTGTCTCCACGTTCTGGATTTTAGTCACATTTTGGGGTCCGTTTAACAAAACAAAAATCTGTGCACAGGGAAGTTGGATGGGATTGCAGCCCGCACGTTGGGTTGTGAGCCGCCATTTTACGGTTTATTGAATATCCCCTGTTTTGGGGACATACAGAGGCTGTTAGCCTAACCACAAGTGACCTGCATTTTATTATACTGGAGATGGAGAGGTGAGAAGGCTGCTTAGATAGTGTGTGTGTTATAGGAGGTATGGGGAGCTGCAGTGAGCATGCTGCTCAGGTAGTGTGGGTTATAGGAAGTGTGGGGAGCTGCAGTGAGCGTGCTGCTCAGGTAGTGTGGGTTATAGGAGGTGTGGGGAGCTGCAGTGAGCGTGCTGCTCAGATAGTGTGTGTTATAGGAGGTGTGGGGAGCTGCAGTGAGTGTGGGTTATAGGAGGTGTGGGGAGCTGCAGTGAGCGTGCTGCTCAGATTGTGTGTGTTATAGGAGGTGTGGGGAGCAGCAGTGAGTGTGCTGCTCAGTTAGTGTGGGTTATAGGAGGTGTGGGGAGCTGCAGTAAGTGTGCTGCTCAGTTAGTGTGTGTTATAGGAGGTGTGGGGAGCTGCAGTGAGTGTGCTGCTCAGGTAGTGTGTGTTATAGGAGGTGTGTGGAGCTGGAGCAGGTAGTGTGGGTTATAGGAGGTGTGGGGAGCTGCAGTGCGCATGCTGCTCAGATAGTGTGTGTTATAGGAGGTGTGGGGAGCTGCAGTGAGTGTGGGTTATAGGAGGTGTGGGGAGCTGCAGGTAGTGTGCTACTCATGTAGTGTGTATTATAGGAGGTATGGGGAGCTGCAGTGCGCGTGCTGCTCAGATAGTGTGGGTTATAGGAGGTGTGGGGAGCTGCAGTGAGTGTGCTGCTCAGGTAGTGTGTGTTATAGGAGGTGTGTGGAGCTGGAGCAGGTAGTGTGGGTTATAGGAGGTGTGGGGAGCTGCAGTGCGCATGCTGCTCAGATAGTGTGTGTTATAGGAGGTGTGGGGAGCTGCAGTGAGTGTGGGTTATAGGAGGTGTGGGGAGCTGCAGTGAGCGTGCTGCTCAGATTGTGTGTGTTATAGGAGGTATGGGGAGCTGCAGTGAGCGTGCTGCTCAGATTGTGTGTGTTATAGGAGGTATGGGGAGCTGCAGTGCGCATGCAGCTCAGGTAGTGTGTGTGTGTTATAGGAGGTGTGGGGAGCTGCAGTGAGTGTGGGTTATATGATGTCAGAAGATCTAAACAGTATTTGTTTCTAAAACGTTTCAGATGACTGTTTTCCATATAGTGACTAAAGAAAAAGCAGGTTGAGATCTAACCACCTTATGTGGCCAAGTTAAAGGGAACACTATAGTCACCTGAACAACTTTAGCTTAATGAAGCAGTTTTGGTGTATAGAACATGCCCCTGCAGTTTCACTGCTCAATCCTCTGCCATTTAGGAGTTAAATCCCTTTGTTTATGAACCCTAGTCACACCTCCCTGCATGTGACTTGCACAGCCTTCCATAAACACTTCCTGTAAAGAGAGCCCTATTTAGGCTTTCTTTATTGCAAGTTCTATTTAATTAAGATTTTCTTATCCCCTGCTATGTTAATAGCTTGCTAGACCCTGCAAGAGCCTCCTGTATGTGATTAAAGTTCAATTTAGAGATTGAGATACAATTATTTAAGGTAAATTACATCTGTTTGAAAATAAAACCAGTTTTTTTTTCATGCAGGCTCTGTCAATCATAGCCAGGGGAGGTGTGGCTAGGGCTGCATAAACAGAAACAAAGTGATTTAACTCCTAAATGACAGTGAATTGAGCAGTGAAATTGCAGGGGAATGATCTATACACTAAAACTGCTTTATTTAGCTAAAGTAATTTAGGGGACTATAGTGTTCCTTTAAGGTTTGATATGGTCTTAATTTATAGTTCTAACTATAGATAATTCAAATAATCCTATGTCCATTGGCATTGCAACTGATTTGTGGCTATACAAGAATTAAGAATGGTTTATTTCTAGTAATGATCAATGCATCCTGTAAGTGCAGGGTTTCCTTGTGCAGATCAGGGCGCTGTCTACTTACACACGCACAGCGGAAGCTTTATATACGTGGGAACGTCTTTAGTAAATACAGACCATTAGACGAGTGAGAGACAGTGTTGGCAAAAGCGGACTGTCTAATCCAGTATAGTGGCTGTAAACGTCTACATAATAAGCTCCTTCAAGCAGAGTCTACAGTAACGCCTTGTTTGTGATTAACACTTATTATAGTTTGTATTATTTATTTGTTGTACCACTTCATTGAAATTGTAAAGCGCTTTATAAATTCTAATTAAATTTTGTTTTGTGGGTGTAACTGTGTACTGTCTTCTACAAGAACAAATTTATTTTACTTTAGAGATATTGTCACCACCACTCCATCTGTACAACTTGCACTGCACTCCAGTTTGGGTAACTAGATAGAAAGTAGGTGGCAGCAATAGTTACTGATGAGCTGGGCTTTGGTAATACTGATCGTATTTGTCTGAGCCACCTGTCCAGGTCTGCCTGAGCACACCTGAAGCTCCACGCTAATAATCTTATACAGAGTAAGCTCGATGCAATGCATTCAGTCTTTCTGGGGACTTTTATCTGTTGCCCTCAGAAGTGGAATATCGTGAAATGGCAGGATAGCAGTCCAAAATTGGGACTCTGCTGCGGGACCCGAGACTGTTGGGAGGTATGCAGTGCTAGCACTTTCATGCCCCAGTTTTATAGGGAAGGGGGAGAATTAAGGTTTTAAGTTGATTGTGTGTTTTTTTTTTTGTTTTTTTTTTATGTAATCGTATTTATTTCTTGTACCTTTTTTTTTTTTTTAATTCACCCTACGCTTTCTTCTTTGAGATCCATCTTGGAGATGATTGGAGTGAGCCTTTTGTAAATCTTTGTACTATCGTTTTTACGCATTGTGTACTAGACTTTTTTCCTTGCTCCATGTATCCATATTTGGAGTAGCACCACATAAATGGGTATTTTATACACTGCAATGTGTAGCAATGTTATTCACGACATTTATATTCATGGTCTGTTTTGTGCAGTTTTTAAGGACTAGGATATGACTTGGACGTTTTAGCCAATCCTGGTTGTTACGTTAGTTTCCATTAGGCGCTCAGAGTACAGCGAGTGTTTATGGGATATTTACCGTGCGTTTTATAGTCACATCCAGTCCACTTGGATGGAGGGTTAGGTGGGTGGCAGGTTTTTGTTTTAATGCTTTGTCTGGCTAAAGTTTCCAGTATATATTTTTTAAATCAAATAAAAATAAGACTAAATTGGTGCAGGCCTACCTGTACTTTGGCCAGAGTTTCATAGGTTTGCTTAAGGGATTACCATGTGTCCAGCCCTTCCAAGTCAGAATTGAATTGTTTATTATTTAAACAAAAACTAATGCCGGTCTCTGTGTACACCTATATTGTAGAGCAAAATGTATATTCTGTATCATCCTTTTTATGTATTTATTTTTTGGTATGTATGTTCATATAGATGGTATATTTCTCTGGCACCTTGACCATGTATAATGGATAAACGCAGTCCTTTTAAAGTGAAACTGTCACTACTGAAATATATGCCTCTATGGCCCAATAGTCCATTAAATATTGGCCATCGGTAGGGCTTTTATTTTTTAATTTAGTTTAAACATTCTACATTAATGGTTTCATAGTGTTTACTATGGAAATGAATAAACCATAAGGTATAAAAGGTGGACACTCATAGTAATATATATATTGTCCCTTATTGGCTGCCTAGCCTGTCTCAAGTGATTTGGCACACTCACATTTCCTGACAATAAAATAATCTACATAAACTAGTTCCCCGTTAGGACAGGCTAACCAAAATGGGATTTTGATCTAATCTGTTAAATGTTTTAATTAAATTTTTAAATAGTTTTGATTTCCATCACTTCTATCTGTCTACTTGCAGCTGTCCAGAATATTTCTTCTCTACAATGCGGCACCGGGCAGCCGATGCAGACCGCCATTGGACAGATGTTCCAGAGCATCCCAGGGCAGCCGCTGCAAAACGTCACAACCCAGTCACTGCAGAACATCAACACTCAACCAGTACAAAGTATTGTAACGCATGCTCAAACAGCGCAGAGAGTGTCGACACCTTCAACTCCGCAGATCCAGCAGCCCCTCACCCTACATACACAAAGTATATCTCCCCAGCAGTTCCTGACCACTACGAGTGCAACTGTGAGTCCGCATATCCAACAGGTCCCCGTAAGTACAAACCCAATAAATCTGCCATGTCTGTTCTCCTTTCTGGGTACTGACAGCGGATAATCTGAATTGCCTTTCCTCCTGTTAAGGTTCTAATCCAACCTCACTTCATCAAGGCGGACTCGTTGCTGCTCACGGCCGTCAAGGCCGACGGTTCAGTAATGCCTACCATAAAGACATCTGGAATGACTTCTCTTACAACAAATACCACCATGCAGACAGCAGTAAGTGGCAAAGAAAATGCATTCGATGTGCCCATTTTAATGTAGGAAATGAAATGTAGTCTGAGCAGGAACCAGAGTCCAGTATATATAAATGCAAACAGGCTTATTTTAAATTATTTACTCAATTTCTGTGTATAGGAGCAGATTAAAATGACCGTTCTTAGATCCCTCTTTTGTCCCCTTTTCTGTGGCTATTGCCAATTGTCATAAAAAGAAAATCCCTTGTTATTCATTTAAAGTGACTCTTTCACCAGAATTGTCCTTTGCACTCTTAAACAGCACTTTAAAAACGTCAGGTGTAGACTTAATCTAAAAGGGTTCTCTGTGTAGCAAGATGGATGCCTCCATTAATCCTACATGCAAAACAAAATACCTGCTCAAGGAATAATTACAGATAAAGTTGCTATAACTTCTTTTAAATCTGATTCATGAAAGAAAAATCCATTGTAAGTTTTTGCTGCAGGTTTTACACTGGATATATGTGCACTCCAATAAAAGTCAGTTTCCCTCTCCAAAGTCCAGAAATGTAGTATTTCAAACACTGGTACCTTTGGTATTTTTTTATTTTTTTATTTTGCTGCTCATATCTCTCCCATCAATTTGCATCTAGCTGTCTAGTTTTCTACCATCGTCTGTGATCTGGTTTCAGGCTCTTGTCAGTGGGGGCACTATATTGACCACCATGCCACTGATGGTGGATCCCGATAAATTGCCCATCAACCGTCTCACAGCCAGTGGCAAGATGGCGATGGTGAATGGCAAGGGGGAGAAGCGGACAGCCCACAACGCCATAGAGAAACGCTACCGGTCATCGATAAATGACAAGATTATAGAACTCAAGGACCTGGTGATGGGAACTGAGGCAAAGGTAATTTCATAACTGGAGAAAAGTGTGTGTGTCAGTGTCAGTCAACCGTGGGCAACTGTCCTGCTCAGCCAGAGTCAGTTTAGATGAGTTTTATGGAAGTAGTAGTGAAAGATCCAAGGTAGCTTAGTACTGTCCTAAAGATAGCAAGCAGTGTTAATTTATTGCATAGTTGTACCTCTTTTATTTTCCTCTCTTGCAAAAAGAAAATAAAGGGGGGGGGGGGGCCCTCTAAGCATAGAAAGATACAGCCTGTTATAGTGGTTGTGGTGCTAGCAGGCTATGGGCGCTGTTTGGTTTGAGACAAAAAATGAAGGGGTCTGGTAGGAACTCCTGCCACATCTCTTCGCTTGGTGTAGTACTAATGTGGAATGAACACTTCTGCAGTAACATTTTCCGTGTGTTTTGTGCTTAACCTCCTTTTATTTTATTTATTTATTTTTTTCTCCTATTTGTCTCCCCAGTTGAACAAATCTGCCATTTTGAAGAAGGCCATTGACTATATTCGCTTCTTGCAGCAGAACAACGTGAAACTAAAGCAAGAAAACCTATTGCTCAAAATGGCCGCCCAGAAGAATAGTAAGACTTCCTGTTTGCTCGTTCCCTCTTCCTGTTTACACGATAGTGACCTATTTTATGGCTGTCACCATATTGACTTTTGAGAAGTTTTTTTTTTTTGAATTTCTAAGCCAGAGTGTGAGGAAGTGCTGAGCACGGCATCCATAGCTCCTCTCCAAGCAGATGTGGTATCTCCTCACCCTGTTCTTCATATAATACATTTCTAAGTGAAATTTGTCAGGGTTGTTCACTAGATTGTTGGGAATTTTAACGTTTAGTCCAAACTGAAAACTGACTGGGAGAATTTTCCAAAATCTGTGATTTGGGTCTAAAACCTGGAAATCACTTTGAAAACCATTACAGTTTAATGAGACCAACACTTTAAACAGACATTGCCCAGACACAACAGTAACTCTTACCCCTTCAGTTAATTGTGCTTTGCTTTGTTTTTATTTTATGTTCTTGCCTCTATTTTTAAAGTATTGGCTTTTGTTTTTTTCCCTGTTCCTTTTTCCCCTTAGGTTCTTTGAAAGACCTTGTGGCTGGAAGCACCATTGTCATGGATGGGGTAAATGCAGACACAATGGATGTTCTCACCCCACCACCATCTGATGTGGGCTCCCCGTCACACAGCGGCAGTCCAATCTCACAGTGTAACAGTGACTCGGAGCCAGACAGCCCCTTCTGCGAGGAAGCCAAGGTAAGCCGCATTGTATTGCAAACAGTCCCTGATGCACATTGCACACAGTAAGCGTGTTCTGCTACATCTCTGCATTTCCTAATTTTCCTCAAATTCCGCTTCACTTCTCTGGTGCACTACTTAAACTTGCAATTTATCCCACACTATGATGCTTTCTGCACCTTATTGCACTCTCCACTAGTCTTTGTCCTTGTACTTTTTTTTGCACCCACCTCAACTCCCCTCTGTGCGTGCGCTACCTTACACTGCTGCTCCCCCCTCTCTGTTCGTGCGCTACCTCACACTGCTGCTCCCCCCCCGTGCGTGCACTAGCTCACACTGTGCGCGCGCTACCTCACACTTTTGCTCCCCCCTCTCTGTGCGCGTGCTACCTCACACTGCTGCTCCCCCTCTCTGTCCGCTTTGCAAATCTGTTCTTTGCCTTTTTCTGCAATTTCTCACATACTCCTCCTCCTCCTCCCCATGCACCTTACTGCACACACTACTCCTCTCTCTACACAAATACTACTTTGCCTCATTCACACTATTTTTCGTTCTGTGACTGTTCCAGGTCCAAGTTAAGCAGGAGCTCCCGTCTCCTCAAAGTACTGGCATGCTGGACCGCTCCCGTATGGCTCTATGTGCATTTGTCTTTCTCTGTCTCTCCTTCAATCCCCTGTCATTCCTCATGGGAGGCTCCAGGGGCCCCGAAATGGCAGAAAGCTCGTCATTCCATGGCAGTGGCCGGAGCATGCTGGGAACGGGATATCCAGGTGTGTGTAGATCTAAACAAAGTTACTGATAAAATTACCATTTCCACATCATTAAAATAACTCTATTGGGAGTTGGAGATCTAAACCTTAAACTCTTGCTCATCTCCTGGAGATGCAGCCCGCCGTTAATAAATGTGAATTAAAATTTTATTTATTTATTTATTTTTTTTAAACCCACTTTTTTGTTTTCCTCCATTTGCTTCAATCTCTATAAATACCTGCTCCATCCTAATTCCGAATTAATAGTTTTTCATTTTACCAACTATTTTCTGGTCATAACTTCGCAGCCATGTATGTTAGGAAAGTGCGATCTATGGTTTAATGTGGTTTATTTAACCTCTTGGTGTTCCCGTTGCTCCATAGAGCCTTCATTCTGGTCTAGTTGGTTGGTTCCATCAACACTCCTCTGGCCCATTAATTTTGCCATCGTTCTTGGGGTCTTCATTCGGCTTTTTATCTATGGTGAGCCGGTAACCCGTCTTCACTCTGAGTCCTCTGTCCTCTTCTGGCGCCATCGGAAACAAGCAGATGTGGATCTCTCGCGGGTAAGCAGTACTCCATATTGGTCCTTGTACAAAACGATGGCATCCCCAAATTGGTTAAATCTGGGTGTGACTGTTGAATGTCTTCGCATTCCTAGGGATTCCGAGCACCTGTTACAAAATTCCAAAAGCGGAGAATTTAGAAGGAATTTGTTTCTATAGCTTTTACATAATCCCTATAGTGACTGCTTATCAATATAGACTACCATTAATAAATATAAAATCATATTACATATGAGTCATACTTTAAAAAAAAACAAAAAAATTTTTTATTAAGTCCCAGGGTCCAAAATAGTCTCCTTCTCCCCTCTGTCTTTCTTTGATCCTTTGGGGGTAAATGGTCCTTTCTTTTCAGGGGGACTTTGCCCAAGCCTCCTTGCACCTTTGGACAGCTCTGAAAGCTTTAGGGAGACCCCTTCCTACTTCAAACTTTGATCTAAGCTGCAGCCTGATGTGGAGCTTGATCCGATATGTGCTTCAGCGCCTTTGGGTAGGACGCTGGCTGGCAGAACGTGCTGGGGGTTTCCGTAGGGACCACCAGCTGAAGGATGATGTTCGAAAGAGCTGCAGAGAAGCTGCTCTTGTTTACCATCGTCTTCACCAGCTGCATATGACCGGTATGTTGTGTGATCTACATGTGCTGATGGGTGTCACGTTTCACCAGCTGGGCAGTATTTCCCATGCTCCCATGTAGGCTAGTGGCTGATGGATGATAATGGGAGTTGTAGTCCTTGCAAAGCTGGATAAATCACTGTCATATTATGTCCCCAGGGAAGCATGCTGGAGGCCACCTGGCTGCGATAAATATGGCTCTGAGTGCTGTGAATTTGGCGGACTGCGCAGGAAATACCATTTCCGTGGCAACTCTTGCAGAGATCTATGTCGGGGCTGCTCTGAGAGTGAAGGCTAGTCTCCACCGCCGCTTCCACTTCCTGGCGGTAAGTAGTGAGGGCCGAGCTGCCAACTTCACACTGCGGAATAGATCATGCTCAAGGGATGAAACTTTGTTCTCCATTGTTTTTGTGTTGTAGAATTTAGAAATAATTACTACCTAAAATTACAGAATTGAGGATTGTCCCACAAATGCATCTGAATGCTTCTTTCTCTTGCAGCGTTTCTTCCTGTGCAGTGCCCGCCAGGTGTGCTTGGCACAAAGTGTCACTATACCTCCTGCCATGCAGTGGCTGTGCCACCCTCTGGGACATCGCTTTTTTGTTGACGGAGACTGGAGTGTGAGAAACTCACCCAGAGACACAATTTACAGCACAGCAGGAAGCACAGGTACATTAAAAAATGCAATCATATGCCTGGCACGGCTATTATCCTCTGCCCTCATATGCCTGGCACGGCTATTATCCTCTGCCCTCATAGGCATGGCACGGCTATTATCCTCTGCCCTCATAGGTATGGCACGGCTATTATCCTCTGCCCTCATAGGTATGGCACAGGTACTGTCCTCTGTTATCCTAGACTTGGCACGGCTACTGTCCTCTCTCCTCACAGGCCTGGCACGGCTGCTATCCTCTACTATCCTAAACCTGGCACAGTTGTTATCCTCTGCCCTCACAGGCTTGGCACGGCTACTGTCCTCTGCCCTCACAGGCTTGGCACGGCTACTGTCCTCTGCCCTCACAGGCTTGGCACGGCTACTGTTCTCTGCCCTCACAGGCTTGGCACGGCTACTGTTCTCTGCCCTCACAGGCTTGGCACAGCTACGACCCTCTACTATCCTAAACCTGGCACGGCTGCTGTCCTCTACTCTGACAGGCCTGGCACGGCTGCTGTCCTCTGCCCTCACGGACTTGGCACGGCTGCTGTCCTGTGCCCTCACGGACTTGGCACGGCTGCTGTCCTGTGCCCTCACGGACTTGGCACGGCTGCTGTCCTGTGCCCTCACAGACCTGGCACGGCTGCTGTCCTGTGCCCTCGTGGACCTGGCACGGCTTCTATCCTCTGCCCTCACGCACCTGGCACGGCTACGACCCTCTACTATCCTAAACCTGACACGGCTGCTGTCCTCTGCCCTCACAGACTTGGCACGGCTGCTGTCCTCTGCCCTCACAGACTTGGCACGGCTGCTGTCCTCTGCCCTCACGGACTTGGCACGGCTGCTGTCCTCTGCCCTCACGGACTTGGCACGGCTGCTGTCCTCTGCCCTCACGGACTTGGCACGGCTGCTATCCTCTGCCCTCACGGACCTGGCACGGCTTCTATCCTCTGCCCTCACGCACCTGGCACGGCTACGACCCTCTACTATCCTAAACCTGGCACGGCTGCTATCCTCTGTCCTCACGGGCCTGGCCCGGCTTCTGTCCTCTGTCCTCACGGACCTGGCCCGGCTTCTGTCCTCTGTCCTCACAGGCCTGGCACGGCTGCTATCCTCTGTCCTCACGGACCTGGCACGGCTTCTGTCCTCTGTCCTCGCGGGCCTGGCACGGCTGCTGTCCTCTGTCCTCACGGGCCTGGCACGGCTTCTGTCCTCTGTCCTCACGGGCCTGGCACGGCCATCTTCAAAACAAAAAGTCAGAAAGGACACCGCATAAGTAACATGCCCTAAATGGCAGAATAGACACAACAGGAGTACTATCCATTTAAATTCTTATACACACTGTACAGATACTGTGCCCTAGTTACCTAAGTAGACATTGCACTGGTACCTGCACTAACTGTAGAACTTGTCATGCTTTGTACATATATATACCACAGTGTGCTTTGATGTCCTCCAATTTACATTTCCCCTGGATCCGACTCAGAATTTTGGGATGTGTTTATAGGTCCATGTTGTAAATGCGTGGACCTACCTGTTACAGCTCACCCCATGCTTTCAGCAGCCAATTCTAGTCTGTGTATTAATACAATGTGTAAGTGAGAAACATGTCTTGTTACACGCCTGACTCTGTTTTTCTGGGGCAGTGGATCCGTTGGCGCAGGTCACACAGGCATTTCGTGAACACCTGTTAGAGAAAGCATTGTACTGCGTGGCTGAGCCAGAGCAGAGCAAACCCCTGGCGGAGGGAGAACGGTAAGTTCTTATCTTACGATTTGTTTACTTTTAGTTTTTTCTTTGCCCTGTTTTTTATTCAATGTACTCCTCCGTTCATTGTCTAATCTGGCAATCCATCATGCAGGTTGTGGTTTTTCACAGTTTCTCAGCACTGTCAGCGTTATTTACTATGTGAAATCCAAATACTTTTCTCTGCTTCATACTTTTTTATTTATTTATTTTTCCTTTGTCTACTCTGCACTTTTTTTACACTTTACACATGTCTTTCTGTAATGGACTTTCATCTTCATTGTTATGTTTTTAATTTTTTTTTTTTTTTCTCTTCTCAAAACCGTGATAGCCTGCTACACAGGGGCAAAATAGTAGAGTTGGATGCAATCTACTCTTTTGACGTTTTGTCCTGGCTGTCTCACCTTTGTGACTTTCCTTTCCTCCAACTTCCTTGCCCTCTGCACTCACTATCTCACATGTAATCTCTCCTGTCACTCGCCTCCGGGTTGTTTATCCAGTCTCACATCAGTTTTGTCTCTCCTGATGCTTGCCTCTGGGTTTCTCACCTCCGTGATATCCCTCCTTTCTCTGCAGAGAGTTCTCGGACGCCCTGGAGTATTTGCAGTTGTTAAATGGGTGCTCCGATGCAGCCGGTGTTCCCAACCATACGTTTTCCATCAGCTCCACTATGACGACCTTCACAGGTAAGTGCCCTCAGCCCTTTAAACATTGTCATATCAGTCAGGTATATTCCTTAACTCCTTGCATGCTATACCTCCCATCTGTCTGACAGAGTATTTTGCAGGTGCATTGTGTGTATTTTCTATGTGTTACGTTGTGCCTAGACGTGAAGAGATTTGAAATGTATGTTTTAGTATTCTTTAGAAAGCACCAACAGATTCCACAGCGCTGTAGATTGTTTTATGGTTTGTGAACACTTCTGCGCAGGAACTGATCCAGTGGCAAAGTGGTGGGCGTCCGTCATCATTGTGGCTATTAACTGGCTTCAAGGAGACGACGAGGGCGCACAGAGATTGTACCCAGTAGTTGAATACATGCCGAAAGCCCTTCATATGCAAGAGTAAGTGCTATAGAACAAGATCCTTTTGTAAAGTCCTCTCTGATCCCCTCTAATCTACTTGCCATGTTTCCTTCAGAAAGGAAGCCTCACCTCTGTGTTTCTAAGATAACAAGTTGATTAAAGAATTGTTTACAGTACACAGCCATCTTTTTGACAAACTGTCTGTAAAAATCCAATATCTATTTGACTTTCCTGTTCTAACTCGTTTGTTGCTGACCCTAGATGATTGGGAATATAATTTTATCTTTTAATGCTTGCTCAGAGTCATGGTAAATGTAGATTCAAAACTCTGATGTTACCGGTGCTAACCTTCATTGCCTATATGCAATTTATAGTTCCAACGGGTCTCAAAAAACCTTTTAGTAGATCTAATGTCATATATTGTGTTTTTGTTGTATAAACCTTTTCCTCATACTCCCATCACTCCTTAGGAATCCTTTGCCGAAAGCTGCACTTTATGCCTTCAAAGCTGTACGGACGTTGTTGGGAAAGCAGGACAGCAGCCAGGTTAGCCTGGGCCAATGTGAGAAAGCCAGTGGCTACCTCCGGGAGAGCCTAAATTCAAGTCCTTCCAGCAGTGGCACCATAGATAAGGTGAGTTAAAAGTTGGAAACTCGTGGAATCTTTGGTTAGAGGTTGGGGATTTGTAGAATCTTGGGTTGGTGGTGGCTAGTCTCTGGAATTTCTGGTTGTGGGTCCATGGATTATCTGGTTAGTTAACTCGTCCACTGAGCTGGATTGCTGGCTCATGGTTTTTGGAATCTTATGGTTAATGGTGGTGGTCCACGTGATCTCTTTACAGAGGAGATGGAATAATGAATTCCCTGGTTAATGGTGGGAGATGGACATCTGGTTGCTGATGAGTGGTTCATAGAATTATTGGTGGTATCACCTGTGGAGTTCAATTTGTGCTGTATACTCTGTTATCTTGCCGAGGGATCTTCCTGACAACGAGACCCAAGGCCATTGTGGCTGTAGTGCATTGTAGTTGCATTGCATGTTACATCCCCTATGTGCAATGTGACTGCAGTGCAATACAGAGGCAGTGCCATATCTGCAGACCGAAGATACCATCCAACTTCTTAACCTTTATAGCTGTGCAAGCCCTAACCTAGTGGGCATCTCAAATGTGCATTCTCCCGTTCAGCGTAAGTTTTTATGGGTATCCATTGTTTCACGCCTTAGACCAATAATGTATTTGTGGATAAATGCCCAATCCAAATCCATTTCACGCAAAGAACACAATGGTATGTCTAAGCATTTGATTTGGTCTAGACTAGTGTTTCCCAAACCAGGCCTCATGGCCCACCAACAATCCAGGATTAAGTATTTACCTTTTTTATTCCAATGGAGACACTGATAAAGCCTGGTGGACTGTTGGTGGGTCATGCGGACTGGTTTGGGAAACACTGGTCTAGGGTACAAAAGTGGTAGCTGTTTCGTCATTGGTGGTTGATAATCAGAATCTCTAGTTAGTGGTGGTTGATGCATGGAATCTGCTATTAGTGTTAGGAGATGGTTACTTATCTTTCCAAAAAACTGAGAAACCAGCAACTCACCCAATGATTGATTTTACTTGTTTACCATTCTTCTCTTTGACCTTCTGTCTTTCCTGTTTCCCTCTTGTCCTACATAAGTCATTGTTGTATTAGTTGGCCATCTGAAGTCTTCATTTTCCTACCTTGTGTATTCTTTTAACCTTATGATTATCAGTCTTACACTTGGCATATGACGACTTCTGAGCACCAACACTTTTCGGTAATACTTTGCCGCTATCAATGCCTCTTTCTCCCATGAGCCAGTTGTAGGATGTGGTTGATGGTTTGATGGGGGGAGGGGGGAGGTGATTGTATTTTCTTTGTAATGATGGATCCAAATGGAATGTTATCTGCCTGCATTGTCCGTATTAATTCTTGACCCAACACTTGACTGACCATTCTGATATACCTTATCAGTTTTGTTTAATTTTTTTTTTTCCATTTGCATGTTCTCGTTTAATCATGCCTCTCTACCTCTCTTTTCTTCCAACCCCCCTCCCCCCTTCCCTTTCAGGCAGTGCAGCTTCTCATATGTGACATCTTGCTAGTAACCAGGACCAATATCTGGCAACAGCAGCAACAGCAAAGCAGCCCAGCACAACAGTCCAGTGGCGTACATCCGGCATCCCCCCACGAGCTCCGGGGATTCCAGCTAGACCTGAGCAGTATGCGCCGACTGGCCCAGTTATTTCGCCCAGCCATGCGTAGGGTGAGTGGAATGTGATGACTTGTCATGATGACAGCAGGGACACTTAACGGGGGCAGACATCTTGCAGAGAAAAGTGGTTTGGTAACTGTGAACATTCAGGTAAAGGAAATTCACTTTCGTAGCGTTGTGTTGGTTTGCAGATTCTGCCGTGATCTTTCCGAATTCCTGTTTGTGGGAGTTACATTTCATTTTTTTCCTGCTAATGGCAGGAATGAAGCCAGTTGTGTCCTTCTCCTATGAAGCCCTGCCGTGTAGCCTCGATATTAATGACATCATGTTTTTAAAAAACAAACATTCTAACCCTGCAGGCTAGGAGGGAGTTATACAACAGATTAAGTCGCCTGATATTTGTGCCTTTCATGCCCATGTAAAGTAAACCTTTATACCTCAAAATTAATTTAGTTTTTTAAATCATAATTGCTAAGAGAAATGCATTTTTAGTAAAATTTGCATAATTATTTCCTAAACCCTAAAACCTCTAGCTGTAGCCGTGGCTTGTGCAGCGAATAAAGATCCGTCCTGTTATTTCTTTATTTTTTCCCTGAGCATAAAGTGCTGTTGAGTATCACATTTTATGACCATTAAAATGGTGCCTTGCTATGTTAAGCTATTGTAGCCTAAAATCCTTATCTGGCTCAACCAACTACTGGATATAGTTAACTGGAGTTACATTCCACATAAGCAAATGTGTTTTGGCCAAGGGTTGCTTAACCATCACAACAGACCTATATTGCAGCTCCCACTAGTCTGAACCAGAATCTCGCTTAGCATTTTAGGAGTTGTAGTCTGGCACAGACCACATCTTCCTTGGCTGCATAAATCTGTCGATGCTGTCAACTTTGGGATTTGGCCACATTTGTTGGCATTCTTTTTATGGGGATGCAGATTCCTGCAGGCTGATTGACAGCCCAAGGAGGCGGACCTCCATAGAGGAAAACATTTTTTTCTCTGGAATAAAAAGAGGCTGCACAGACTGGGTCCACTTTAATAAACCACTTTATTATAAGCAGGATTTCCAAAGCTATTATAGTACCAGTAATGATATAAATAAAGTTGTCTATCACGACACATGTTTCGACTTGACACACGCATGAAAAAAAAAGTAAATGAGGCCAGATAATGTTGAACGATTATAATAGTTCATGTTCTACGGTTTTATCTTATTACGACGTAATGTCTGAAAATGTCAAACTTGTAAACTTTCCTCAATAAAACAGATTGACAAAAAAAAATACAGGTTTGTCCAGGTATTGATGGCTGCTCTGGAAGGATTATTCAGGTCTGGAAGGAAGTACGCTTATGTGGCCAACTCAAGTTACTTGACAAACTCCACATATTCTAGGCATTCTAGGAGTATTGTTTAATGGGTTACTCCAAGCACTGTGACTTGAAGTGGTCATGGTGCAGGAGTTGGAATGTGCAGGGTTTTGCTGCGAAACGTTGCATATACCATGCTTAACCCGTTGGCTGCAGGAGGTGTGTATCCACCTGTCATCAGGCAGCTTAGAACCAGAGTTCTGGCCTGGTTACTGTCAATTCTGTGCAATTCTAATTTTGTGGTCAGTGAGTCACCAAGGAAGAGGGGAGTATGTGAGCCTAACTGGGACCCTGGTAAGAGGGTCAAACATTACTAAACTGTTCGATTCCATTACCAGGTATACATCCTGGGTGCTCCTGGCATTACAAGCAATACTGCAGGCTCTATGGGTTATGATTATTGGCGTTATCTTTTCACTATGGAAATCTGCTTTTACTGGTTTCCTCTTTTGCTTGTCTTTAACTATTTCATTTGATTACACAGGTATTCCTGCACGAAGCCACAGCTCGCCTTATGGCTGGAGCAAGCCCTACACGTACACACCAACTGCTGGACCGAAGCCTGCGCAGGAGAGTGGCGCCATCTAGCAAAGAAGGTGAGAGATGCGCTTGGCACCCATTGATTGATCTGTTCACTGCCACTATCGTATTAAACTGTCCTGTGGAATTCTGATTGACAGATCTAAAGACATCTCCTTTAACCAAGATTCTATTATTTTCCAGGAAGGGCCAATGCTTGCTAGCCAAAACTTTTTACCCATAACCTCATGTTGCCAGCTACTGTGCACACTACCAAATATATATCTCTATCTCTCTCGTTTCTATTCTTCCCAAATAGTTTGTAGTTTTAAAAGCAAAATATAGCAGCATAGAAAGGCGCTTCACCTCCCAATCACCATTCATTATTGCCAATGTATGGGATAAAACGCTGGTCTAAGACAAAGTATCCCTACATTGCTTTCTAGACCGCTTTTAAAGAAAAACAGAAGTTTTCTTACTTTTTTGGGGGGAATGAATATTGGATCATATCTTTGTTTAAGATAATAGCCCATATTTTAGTTACCTTACTTTTGAACAGCCAAGTTTATTAGATGACTCGCATTATACTGAAGCTACTTCTCTTTCATTCACAGATATGGTACGGTTGGTCAGCTGCAGCGTGACCCTCCCGACCCTCCCCTGTCAGTAACCTTCGAACTTTGACCCTTCTTAAAGGGGACACTTGCTTCTGGCAGCAGTGTTTTTATTCCCTTGTTGCACCCAATCTCAGAGCCATCAGGCCCCATCTACGGACTTTTAGAAGCGGAGAGGAGACTGTTCAACGCAGGACTGTCGTGGGGTTCGGGGGCGGGAGAATGGGCAACAAGGGACTCTTAGCACCACAGGGGAATGACTTGCCCTTGACTTTAATACCGAATGTGTTGGCTATAGTGTACTGTAGCATCTGCAGATATATTGTGGTTTACCATCAATTCTCAACCCCAATCAATGCTGTATTCTCTGTCCTGGCTGAGACCTAGTCTTGAACGAAGTAATGCTTTGAGAAATATTTAAACTCCAGCTTTTGGAGACGTTTGCCGGTTGTTTTCCTTCTTTTTACTCCTTTTTTATATAGTATAATATATATTTTTCTTCTTGGAAAAAATACAATAATTTTATCAGTAATCGCTGTACGGCTCTTCCATCTACACAAACCAGCTGTTCCCACATTGGGAAAAAATGTAGTCCATGTTATGCGTTAAACGTACTATATTTGAACCTTCTTTATAGTATCTTCATGAACCTGACTAACAGATGTTATCCATTTCTTCTGTTAAAGTTGCCAAATTTAGTCATTATTTAGCGTTACACCTGGGTCTGCCATTCTGCCAATGACATGTTGCTTGTCAAGTGATTTGGAAAGTTCTTAAAATGGCAAGCCAGACAAATAGCCCAAGTCTGGCATGCAATCGTTCTGCACCAGTTTGTCATTTATAGGCTGGCAAAGGAACAGTCTGGAGGCATTGTAATTTAAGCCAAGATCTAACATGTAAACCATGGCAATCCAGCTCCAGTCCTTACACTTCCTAGACATGGTTTTCTGGTTAATTGGCTTAGTGAAATATGTAAATAACTTATATTTTAATTGAATATATCTCTAATTTCAGTTCTGACACTGGTGTGCTAGGACTGAATGTTACCCTTCAAATCATTTAATGCTGCCTCGTAAAGCTGCTGCACTCTGGTCACCCCTGGTTTATCATCATTTCTCCAAAACAGACATTTTTAAAGGGACAGTCTGTGCCATAATAACATTTTTGTTTAAAAAAAAAAAAAAAAAATAATTTTTTTTTCTCTGTTTTTAGTTAAAGTAAATATTAGTGGTTTGATCATCTGAAAGTTTTATTTACATCTTCTAACAATTTAAAAAGGTCCTCGTCTTCAGTGTAGGCGTTTGCTGTTCATTTAATATATAAATATATCGTACCTACCTGTAACAAGCTTAGAGCCTCAGTCTGGCAGTATTGATAGCCGGTACGTGCAGCGGTGTCCTACTGCAGCAAAACCTTGACGTTTTAGTGATCCAAGTGGGTACTGCAGCTTTTTGTGAACTATACTTTCTTCATGACCCTCAGCGAGCATTGTGGGAGATTTCATAGAAGCTAGGAGCACCCCACCATTGGTACCTGAATGCGGCACATCAAGCTCCATAATATGTCATCTATATTGTGGCTTATGTAGTGAACGCTTTTAAGATGTACAAATGTAAGCAGCAGGCTTTTACCAAGTCAGAGATTTCTATTTCTGAGAGAAGCGCAGTTTTGTTCATTTGTGCCATATTGGTTCAGTCACGCTTGGCTTGCAATGTTTCGTATACCAGGACTAGACACGAGACCCCTGTCTGCTGCTGTACCAAACTCCCATGATCATTCACTAGCCGTCTTGCCCAGGTTTCTGGGAGTTTATTCATTAACCTCAGAATCGACACCGCAATCACAAATTGTAGATCAAAATACCTTCAAAACCACCTCTTTTCTAATTTGACTGTTCCCTCGTCTATTCTCCACAATTATAAATTTAATGAATCCTATCTTTTTCCAGTAAACCTGATGTATATTAATAATGTTCTGGTTTTAGCTCACGGAGTGCTAGAGGCAAAAAATTTTAACATGTCTTTGAGGCACATTGCACTTGCTAAGTTTAATAAGCATTTTCAAAGTCTGTTTAAGCTGTTCTTGGTACCGACTAGTTATTTGGAAGCCTCTCTCTGTTCCCAGCAGGCACCCGAGAGATGAGCCCCACAGCCCGGGAGCATGCAGAGGCCTTGCTTTTGGCATGCAGGTACCTCCCTCCTTCATTCTTATCTGCCCCGGGGCAAAGGGTGGGCATGTTGGCTGAAGCTGCCCGCACCTTGGAGAAGCTTGGGGATAAACGCACCCTTCAGGACTGCCAACAATTCATCCTGGCTTTGGGCAGCGGGACCACTGTAACGTCCAGCTAGAGGGACCAGCTCATAGGCCCTAAATCAAAACCTTGGCCGAGTCAAGAAGTAAATGAAAATGGCTACATAGCAGAGTCCATAGCCTGCGAGAGATGGTCCCACTTTTTGGGAATGAACATTGGACAAAGTAAAGACTGCAAGAAGCTTGCTGCTAATCCAAAGAGCAGACTATATTGGCATATTCCACGGTGGTTAATAAAAGCACATTGTACTTCAAGGCGGGGAAGGGGTTTTGTACCATCTTCTAAAACATTAATCTGGTTCCAGGGCTGCATTGTAATGGTTATTCACAGGAACTGCACTATTCTGGCATTGGGCCGGGTAACATTATATTAATGGATTCTACAAGTCTAGAATACCCACACCTTGCCATCTCCATAAACTACACATGATTTTCTAATGTGGGACAGCCGTGCTACGGATGCATTTGACCCTGCTTGTCTATATGAGGATCATGCTGTAAATGCAGTCAGGGCGTTCAACCAATGAGGGGGTAATGTAAATTTTTATAAACTGACTTAAAAAAACAAACAAACCCCATAACACTTTATACATTTACCAAAACACTGCTCTTGGTAATCCCACTATGAGGTGTAATAGACACACTTTCATAGATGCTATAAGTAGCGGTTCAATGACTCCTACTGGCTGTTTAGATATGTATTTTATTTTTTCCCGATTCTTTGCAGTGTTACAATGTATTTGTTCTTTGGAACCCAGGAGGAGGATCTTACCTTTTGAATAGACTTTTTGACTGTAACCACATTATCCAACAATGTGGAATTAATAGGCATTCTACAACCCCCTCATCTGTCTGTAAGAGCACAAGGCTTACAATCTAATTACAAATAGTAATGAGTTGTATATCCATTGTAATTAAATTGTCACCATAGAAACCGTTTCAACATGAGTAAGGTGCGTTCCTTGCTGTAACATGAGGTTTGGCATCGCGTCCTTCCAGATCACCATTAGAGCATGGGGGGTACCCAAAAGGAGGATGTTGTAAACCTACACCTCCCATGATGCTTTGCATGCATTTAGAATAACAATGCATGATGGAAGCTGTAGTTTAAAAAAAATCTGGGTAAATACATTTTGGGCACCCTTCCCCTGGAGGATAAAACACGACCAGAAGTAAATTGAGATCGAGGGTTTTTCCGTGTAATTACTGCGGGCTTCCTGCCATTGTGGATGGTTTTTATTAATTCTGTTTGCATACTTTTATTTTTCTTAGAGCAAAAAAAGTTTTTGTACAGACTGTTTATGAAGAGATATTTATAATTTTCTTTTGTAAAAGAAACACAAATATATAAATAAAGTAGTTTTGGCTTTGCAAGCTGTCTCATGTATTCTACAACCCCCATTAAAAATTAAGCTTGGGATTATCAACATTATTCAATCAAGTGTGTAGTGACCGAAATTAAAGGGATACTATAGTCACCAGAACAACTACAGCTTAATGAATTTGTTCTGGTGAGTAGAATCATTACCTTCAGGCTTTTCAGAGAAAATGCAGTGTTTACATTACAGCCTAGTGATAACTTCACTGGCCACTCCTCGGATGGCTGTTAGAGTTGGATCAGGCTACCAGTTCTGCTGATGTCAGCAGGCAGGTGTAATGGAAACAGGGACAAAGTAAGCAGCTGCAGACTTGAATACAAGTAAGATTTTACTATTTTATGGATGCATGAGGGGACCAGGGTGGCTAGATGGTGGTTTTAACCCTATAGTGCTCCTTTAAGTGAATTTAAAGTTTTAGGTCAAAATTGGAAATTCAACATTCTTTCTTACATTATTGGCCTAACGTAAACCGTGCACGTAACGTGTGTGTGTGTGTGTGTGTGTGTGTGTGTGTGTGTGTGTGGGGGGGAGCCTGGAGTGTCCCTTTTAATAATATAAACCCGCCCGGAATAACTGTAACCTTACCTACACAGTTCATCTAATGTGTGTGGGAGCCTGGAGTGTCCCTTTAATAATATAAACCCACCCAGTATAACTAACTGTAACCTAACCTACACAGTGCGCCCAATGTGTGTGGGAGCCTGGAGTGTCCCTTTAATAATATAAACCCACCCGGTATAACTAACTGTAACCTAACCTACACAGTGCATCTAACGTGTGTGGGAGCCTGGAGTGTCCCTTTAATAATATAAACCCACCCAGTATAACTGTAACCTAACCTACACAGTGCACTAACGTGTGTGGGAGCCTGGAGTGTCCCTTTAATAATATAAACCCACCCAGTATAACTAACTGTAACCTAACCTACACAGTGCATCCTAACGTGTGTGGGAGCCTGGAGTGTCCCTTTAATAATATAAACCCACCCAGTATAACTAACTGTAACCTAACCTACACAGTGCATCTAACGTGTGTGGGAGCATGGAGTGTCCCTTTAATAATATAAACCCACCCAGTATAACTAACTGTAACCTAACCTACACAGTGCATCTAACGTGTGTGGGAGCCTGGAGTGTCCTTTAATAATATAAACCCACCCAGTATAACTAACTGTAACCTAACCTACACAGTGCATCTAACGTGTGTGGGAGCCTGGAGTGTCCTTTTAATAATATAAATCCACCCAGTATAACTAACTGTAACCTAACGCGTGTGTGAGCCTGGAGTGTCCCTTTAATAATATAAACCCACCCAATATAACTAACTGTAACCTAACCTACACAGTGCATCTAACGTGTGTGGGAGCCTGAAGTTTCCCTTTAATAATATAAACCCACCCAGTATAACTAACTGTAACCTAACCTACACAGTGCACCTAACGTGTGTGGGAGCCTGGAGTGTCCCTTTAATAATATAAACCCACCCAGTATAACTAGCTGTAACCTAACCTACACAGTGCACCTAACGTGTGTGGGAGCCTGGAGTGTCCCTTTAATAATATAAACCCACCCAGTATAACTAACTATTACCTAACCTACACAGTGCATCTAACGTGTGTGGGAGCCTGGAGTGACCCTTTAATAATATAAACCCACCCAGTATAACTAACTGTAACCTAACCTACACAGTGCACCTAACGTGTGTGGGAGCCTGGAGTGTCCCTTTAATAATATAAACCCACCCGGTATTACTAACTGTAACCTAACCTACACAGTGCATCTAACGTGTGTGGGAGCCTGGAGTGTCCCTTTAATAATATAAACCCACCCAGTATAACTAACTGTAACCTAACCTACACAGTGCACCTAACGTGTGTGGGAGCCTGGAGTGTCCCTTTAATAATATAAACCCACCCGGTATAACTAACTGTAACCTAACCTACACGGTGCATCTAACGTGTGTGTGAGCCTGGAGTGTCCCTTTAATAATATAAACCCACCCAGTATAACTAACTGTAACCTAACCTACACAGTGCATCTAACGTGTGTGGGAACCTGGAGTGTCCCTTTAATAATATAAACCCACCCAGTATAACTAACTGTAACCTAACCTACACAGGGCTCCGAACGTGTGTGGGAGCCTGGAGTGTCCCTTTAATAATATAAACCCACCCAGTATAACTAACTGTAACCTAACCTACACAGTGCATCTAACGTGTGTGGGAGCCTGGAGTGTCCCTTTAATAATATAGACCCACCCAGTATAACTAACTGTAACCTAACCTACACAGTGCATCTAACGTGTGTGGGAGCCTGGAGTGTCCCTTTAATAATATAGACCCACCCAGTATAACTAACTGTAACCTAACCTACACAGTGCATCTAACGTGTGTGGGAGCCTGGAGTGTCCCTTTAATAATATAAACCCACCCAGTATAACTAACTATAACCTAACCTACACAGTGCACCTAACGTGTGTGGGAGCCTGGAGTGTCCCTTTAATAATATAAACCCAGCCAGGATAACTAACTGTAACCTAACCTACCCAGTGCACCTAACATGTATGGGAGCCTGGAATGTCCCTTTAATAATATAAACCCACCCAGTATAACTGTAACCTAACCTACACAGTGCACCTAGCGTGTGTGGGAGCCTAAAGTGTCCCTTTAATAATATAAACCCACCCAGTATAATTAACTGTAACCTAACCTACACAGTGCACCTAACGTGTGTGGGAGCCTGGAGTGACCCTTTAATAATATAAACCCACCCAGTATAACTAACTGTAACCTAACCTACACAGTGCACCTAACGTGTGTGGGAGCCTGGAGTGTCCCTTTAATAATATAAACCCACCCAGTATAACCAACTGTAACCTAACCTACACAGTGCATCTAATGTGTTTGGGAGCCTGGAGTGTCCCTTTAATAATATAAACCCACCCAGTATAACCAACTGTAACCTAACCTACACAGTGCATCTAACGTGTGTAGGAGCCTGGAGTGTCCCTTTAATAATATAAACCCACCCAGTATAACAAACTGTAACCTAACCTACACAGTGCATCTAACGTGTGTGGGAGCCTGGAGTGTCCCTTTAATAATATAAACCCACCCAGTATAACTAGCACATAGCCCTAACCTACAGTGCACCCAGCGTGTGTGTGGGAATGGAGTGTCCCTTTCATAATATAGACCCACCCAGTATAACTAACTGTAACCTAACCTACACAGTGCATCTAACGTGTGTGGGAGCCTGGAGTGTCCCTTTAATAATATAAACCCACCCAGTATAACTAACTGTTACCTAACCTACACAGTGCACCTAACGTGTGTGGGAGCCTGGAGTGTCCCTTTAATAATATAAACCCACACAGTATAACTGTAACCTAACCTACACAGTGCACCTAATGTGTGTGGGAGCTTGGAGTGTCCCTGTAATAATATAAACCCACCCAGTATAACTAACTGTAACCTAACCTACACAGTGCACCTAATGTGTGTGGGAGCCTGGAGTGTCCCGTTAATAATATAAACCCACCCAGTATAGCTGTAACCTAACCTACACAGTGCACCCAGCGTGTGTGGAAGCCTGGAGTGTCCCTTTAATAATATAAACCCACCCAGTATAACTGTAACCTAACCCACACAGTGCACCTAACGTGTGTGGGAGCCTGGAGTGTCCCTTTAATAATACAAACCCACCCAGTATAACTGTAACCTAACCTACACAGTGCACCTAACGTGTGTGGGAGCCTGGAGTGTCCCTTTAATAATATAAACCCACCCAGTATAATCAACTGTAACCCAACCTACACAGTGCACCTAACGTGTGTGGGAGCCTGGAGTGTCCCTTTAATAATATAAACCCACCCAGTATAACTAGCTGTAACCTAACCTACACAGTGCATCTAACATGTGTGGGAGCCTTGAGTGTCCCTTTAATAATATAAACTAATCCAGAATAACTAGCTGTAACCTAACCTACACAGTGCATCTAACATGTGTGGGAGCCTGGAGTGTCCCTTTAATAATATAAACCCACCCAGTATAACTAACTGTACCCTAACCTACACAGTGCATCTAACGTGTGTGGGAGCTTGGAGTGTCCCTTTAATAATATAAACCCACCCAGTATAACTAACTGTAGCCTAACCTACACAGTGCATCTAACGTGTGGCAGGGAGCCTGGAGTGTCCCTTTAATAATATAAGTACAGTATAACTAACTGTAACCTAACCTACACAGTGCATCCCTAGCGTGTGTGTAGGGCTGGAGTATCCTATAATATTATATAAACTTCCCACCCAGTATAACTAACTTTCAGCAACCTAACCTGCAGTGCATCTAACGTGTGTGAGAGCCTGGAGTGTCCCTTTAATAATATAAGCCCACCCAGTATAACTAACTGTAACCTAACCTACACAGTGCACCTAATGTGTGTGGGAGCCTGGAGTGTCCCTTTAATAATATAAACCCACCCAGTATAACTAACTGTAACCTAACCTACACAGTGCATCTAACGTGTGTGGGAGCCTGGAGTATCCCTTTAATAATATAAACCCACTCGGTATAACTAACTGTAACCTAACCTACACAGTGCATCCAACGTGTGTGGGAGCCTGGAGTGTCCCTTTAATAATATAAACCCACCCAGTATAACTAACTGTAACCTAACCTACACAGTGCACCTAACGTGTGTGGGAGCCTGGAGTGTCCCTTTAATAATATAAACCCACCCAGTATAACTAACTGTAACCTAACCTACACAGTGCATCTAACGTGTGTGGGAGCCTGGAGTGTCCCTTTAATAATATAAACCCACCCAGTATAACTAACTGTAACCTAACCTACACAGTGCACCTAACGTGTGTGGGAGCCTGGAGTGTCCCTTTAATAATATAAACCCACCCAGTATTACTGTAACCTAACCTACACAGTGCATCTAACGTGTGTGGGAGCCTGGAGTGTCCCTTTAATAATATAAACCCACCCAGTATAACTAACTGTAGCCTA